TTAATTTTTGGGGTAGAATTTACAACTTTTTATATGTTCTGCTACATACCAGTTCAAATATAATTGTCCGAGGTCCTATGTTTACTAAAATCCCAACCTTGAAAATTTAGAAGCTGACCAATATAGATGATCTGCACCGTTGGCGAATGCTGATCATTTCAGTTTTTGTTACTCGTCGCAAAATTTATCAATCCATTGTCATTAAAATTTTTTCAAAAATTTGCTTGCAAGTCTTGGAGGTTAATGGATGCTTATAATATCCTTTAATATTTTGCCAAATACCTTTCCAAATTTGTCCGGATATGCTTTAATTTGGAGCATAATAATAATACCTATTTTTTACTCTAAAATAAAGCCAGATTAACCCTTTTATAAACATGTGCTCCCTTTTTGGGCATGTGTTACATAAGAAGTCAAAGATCAATTGATCAAAATGAAAATGATTTATTTTTTATTATTATTAAAAAAATATACTTTCTAATTAATAACAGATAATTTGTAATCATTAAAAAAAATTTTTGAAATAAATAAATAAATTACAAATATCTAAGAACTAATATATGAAAATAAATAAAACAATAATAATAATGAATGCTAAAGTTATAAATGAATTTGATTGATCGTGCAAAAAAAAAAACATCCCAATATTATTTAATTAATGTAGATGATATGATTAATTATACTTTATAAGGTTGTATGGGTGGCGTTGATATATTTGAATATTTTTGATCTTTGTTATTTTGATCTTGTGGTTCTTCTTTGAATATAGAATCATCATTGTATATTGAAGCCGGCATTTTGCTTTGAATTGAATTAAATACAGTTAGCAAAAAAAAAAACATAACCATTAAAAAAAACGTTGAAAGTTACCCTAAAGCCTTAGAACTTGGTCCTGATTGTATTTTATGATCATTGTATCCGTTATTATCTCCAAATGGATCCTCATATGGAGTCTCCCTACTAATTATTAAAAAGATATTTATAAAAATTTGAATATACCATATATAGATTGGTAATGTATATTATTATTACCTTCCACCAACTCCTGCTGCACTTTCAAGCCCTTCATTAAATAAATTCTCTTCATCACGTCTATTTGTAATTTTCTATAAAAATATAAATTATTTATTTATTTTTATAATATTTATTTTTTGTAAATAAATAGTAGAATTATTACCGTTGACTTTAACTTTGCCACTAAAAGAAGACCTCTTTCAACCATGTCATCATACATTTTGAAACCATTCAAAAGTTCTTGATTTACTGATAGAAGTGTCTCTATATATATATATATACATATATATATTAACATCTTAAGAATTATTTAAAAAAGTAAAATTACGCAAAAATAAAACGATTTCTATTATTTACCAATCCATTCTTCATCTTGAACTTCTGATAGATATTTCATCAAATTGTCATGTAAAGCTTTACATTTTTTATAAAATTCCTATTATTAGGATAAATATAGAGTAAATAAATTAAATAATCTAAATCTAACTTGTGTGATTGGATAAAATAAATTTTTTTACCTGAATTAACTCGTTTTTAGTAATATCTTCGCTTTCGGGATCAGTAAACGATAATGTTTGTGTAAGCAATTGTACATTGTTCTTAGCAACCTCGATATCTTCTGCAATTTTTGCTTCCAATGACTATTAAGGAAGAAAATATCAATATTTGAATCACATAAAAGAGCATTAATTTATTTGTTTTTCGTTTTTTATACATACAACATCCCAATTTCTATCTTGGCCATCATAATATCGTGTCTAAATATTTCAGTAAGAAGAATTTGTGATCTATTAACATGATAAAAATCAATACATATATATCTCCTATGTATATTGTGCCTGTAAATAAATACCTGTGAAGGAACTTGTGATCCTTGATTCCCTGTAAGCTTTGTATAAAGATTGTAAAATTGGTACAGACTAGGTTCATTTTGAAACGTATTAGCTAAAGCGGCCAATAATTGAATGACTTTTTGTTTAACAGTAGCATCAGTTTGAGGTGAGATTACCAATGCTTCCAATTCGTCAAGAAATTTTTTTGATGCAATTTCAGCTATTAATAAAACCAATGATCATAATCATGATATATGGTTAAATTAATAAAGTTAATAAAAATGATGATAATAGTAATACAACAAGAAGATAGAAATTTCGGATATTAACCATGAAATTTTGCACCACAATTGTCAGCCATCGCTTTTATTAACTATTATAATTATTAACTATTAATTATATAGATCGTAACAACCGAACTAAAATTTCTTTTATAAAACATACCGTTAAGATTCGGAGGTGAACATTAGGAGGCTGCGACCTAGATAATTTTTTCCTAATAAATTTAGCTGCTTCCTTTGCTCCAGTATCTGATTTATTTATGGATTCACATGTGATAGCAATTAGGTTCCAATCATCCTCTTTTTTAACAATACAATGTTCTATTAAATAATGGAAGTGTATATATAAAAGAAAACATTAGAAAATAATCACATATAATATATACATACATATATGAGTGTAAAATAGTCAAACCTAAACTTTCAATAATATGACTCTTATGTTTATCAAAATCAAATATTTTCATTTTTTGTTTAAAGAATTAAAGAATTAAATATTTATTTATTTATTTTACAAGGTTGTTTTCAAAGATAAAACAATTTAAATATTTTGAAAGAATGATGGCCAAGGAAATTTCTTTTCCTTATTTGTTTCACAACTTTTAAAATTGGTATAAACCTTTATAGTAATATTTTTTTGTAACACGAACATTTATTCCTCCTTGAAAGCTAGGTCAGCCAACAAGGACAAAAGTTTAAGGCTGAACTCTTAGCCCTAAGGGTAAATCTCAAGTTACTCTCAAGCAAGCTCGAGGTTCACCCTCAAGCAAAAAAATTTCCATTTTTGGTATCAATATTTTTTGTGTAGCTTGAGAATACCCTCAAGTGCTTAGGTTTTATCCTCAAGCACATGAGTTTTATTCTCAAGTGCGTGGGTTTTACCTTCAAGTGCATGAGTTTTATCCTCAAGTGACTTGGGTACAAATTTCTATACACAGTGAATAAACCATAAAAGGAAGTAAAACAGGCCAAAAGTATGACACACCACATTTTGTTGTAAAATTTTTGTTTGATACGTCCAATTGTAAGAAATAAACGCAAATAATTAAAGTTTTTCTTTTACATTTCATTTCTACATAAATAATGACGATTAAAATAATTAGATGATGTGAGCAAACAACAATAATATACAAATTGTCAAAAAGAAGAGAAATGTAATGATATTTAATATTATTAAAATGCGTCAACAAATTGTGATTAAAATCAATATTAAATAATAAGTTTTGAATATTATGTGCAATAGAATTCAGGCTTTCTTTTGAATCCAAGATCATTCAATTCAATCAAGTACTTAGCAAGATACAAAAATATATGGTAATAGGTAAAGAACTATTGCATATCATATTAGATACATAGTAATAAGATTTTGTTCGGTATAACAAAAATCCGTTATAACGAGGTTTGACTGTGGAAATACCAAATTTAGCATATTCTATGACATGACCATAATAATAAATTGATCGACATTTCTCTATTACAAGAGGAACAAGAATTATGACGCAAAAAAAGAATTCTGATTCCCCAAAAGCCAACACAACAACAGTACAGGACAATGAAAAGAAAATAACAGAAGAAGAAGAAGAAGCAATTAATGATAATGGTGATAATAAAACAGAAACAGGTAATAAATCAAATACAAAACCCAAAAAAAAGAAGAAAAAAAAAGCTAAAACAACAAAAGTGGAAGAATTGGAATTAAATAATTCATCAAATAAATTAAACAAAGATGATTTGGACGAGATTGTAGATTATATTTTGAGGTGATTTTCTTTAAGATTAAAGATGATAATAATAAAAAATAAAAAATTTATACATATCCTCTTACAGTGATAAACCACCGCCATCATCCCAGATATGTGCAATGCTAAAGTGTAAACAAAGTCTTAAAATTATGAGTCATAATTGTCAATATTGCAATATGAAATTTTGTACATCGCATAGGTAGGAACTTGTTTGTTAGTTTATGAGTTAATAATTATGATAAGATTTTTGATCAATATATTATTCCTTAAAAGACATCCTGAAGCACACTCACAAAAATGTGTAGAAAAGGCAAGAGATACGGCACACAATTTGTATAAACAAGATTCAATTCGCCTAATTACGGAAGAAAGAAAAAATCCAGGAATAATTAATAAGAAAAATTATAATGCTGAAAAAAATAAAGATGAATTAAAAAAAAGATATAAAGAAAAGTTAAACAAAAAAAGACAAGAAGAAAGAGGCAGCAGTGTTATATAATAAATGAATTATTTGGTTATTATTAGTATTTTCTTTGCTATATTATATATAATATATAGAATATATCAAATTTGTTCGAAATAAAAGTTTTTTTATAAAATATATTTAAATATTATTGCGAGTTCAAATATCAAAAAAAAAACCCCCTCAAATAATATAACAATAATGAAATTAAGTTTATTTTCTAAAAAAATAAAAAAAAAAATAAAAAAAAAATTAAGAATAGATGAATCCTTTAATTTGTATTTAAAAAATTTATTAATGAAAATATTAATGTTATTTGTTGAAAACCAGCAAAGAACTATTGATGTTTTGAATCAGGCTGTAAAATATAAATTTTATGAATTAGTTTCAAATGAAAATGGAGATTAAATTCAATAATTTGATAATACATACATTTTGGAGCCTCCTTATAAGAAATAGCAGCCTCTTCACCCATTGCGCTAATAATAGTAACCATAAGTTCTTTACCTAATCACATTTTAAAATTAATTTAATAATTAAATTTCTAAAATTATATATATGTGTTTATATTTATATATTAAAGCTAGCCACCTTCATCAAAATCAGTTCGAATTTTTTCACCCAATTCGCCATCTGGAATACGAACATCATCTTTGGTAGCGCCATCAGAAGTCATCAAACTCAAAAAACCGTCATCATCAATGTTCAAAAGTTGGTATTCAGTACCTTTTTTTAAAAATAAAAAATTTGTAAATAATATTGACAAAACTGCGCAAAAAAATTTAAAACTTACGGTTAACATTTGGAACATCCATATTGTGAGTGGATGGAGAAAGATCTTTCATGAAATTATTTCATAACAAGTTTAAAAATTTAATAAATTTATCATTCATTAAAATATTCCTCCAATTAACTCTAGCGAATTTTTTATCATGATTTTTTTACCTTCAAGTTTCTTTCCAGTGAAAATATCAATACCAACAAGATGAACTTTCTATGATTTAAAATCATAATGAAATTATCGCATTTATATTATAAGATTTATAAAATTATGATTTATCATTACCGCATGACCATGTTTACCAGTTTTACTGGTAGTCATTTCAACAATCTTGCATGGTCTACCTTTAAGCATGACATGTCCATTCTAAAATATATATAAAAAAATTACATAAATTCATGCGCTTTCGCATAAATTAAAAATTTTTTTATAGGCATGCGACCTAATTGGGTAATTTACCTTTCTAAGGGAAGAACATTGAACAGGATAAGTGTTTGATGCACCTGATCCAGAAGAAGCTCCAAAATCATGATGTTCGTCGTCTCCCATTATCGTTGTAAAAAAAATAAATAGTGTATAAATAATTGATGTAATTAATATAATGAAGAGATAGGAATTAAATGTGTCAGTAAAGATTTGATGAATGAAAAGAACCAAATTCGATTTTTATACCTGTATGCGCAAGAAACAGGTAACAGAGTAATTTTTTTAGATCAACTTTGTGATATGTAAAAAAATTTTAGGCATACCCAATTGGTTAAAAAATAATTCTTCATAGTAATACAATGAATGATCTTTGTTGTGGATAAAATCAAGATCTTAGTATATGACAATTGTACTACAAATGATTACGAACTTTTGGGCTGGGCTAAAAAAGTTTGTTATAGAGAGAGAGTTCGTTATTACAGTCAGGGATATTTCCATAGATGGAAATACTAAATACCGTAATGATCGATGGTATGAAAAATTCTAGAAGA